AATCAACTTTAATTAAACTTTTAAGAATGTTATTAATATCTTTAATATATTAAACCTTATTGTTTAAATATATTAGAATATTATCCAAATAATATATACAATAAGTGTCCAAGTATTATAACAATATATTGTTTATAAGTCTTATAAAAATAGCTGATACATTAGTTAGCCTGAATGGCATAACTTGATACTTGTATAGCTTGTATCTTGTTTTAAAAGCAATTTTCCATTCCTTGCCTTTCTTTATTTTAATCAAGTAATACCCGTTTCGTAGATCCATCTTGATAAATATTGTTACTCTGTTTAATTGATCTCTTAATTCCATAATTAATGAAAGTGGATATTAATCTTTCTTTATAAGTATATTAAGCTTTCTATAATTCATAACTAGTTTCTTAATATTATCTTTCTTGAATACTCATATAGTTAAACTTGCCACTTAAGATATGAATTCTTTAATCTATCCCTTGGTCAAATTGTCATCAATATATTCTTTGAGTGTCTTTAGCTTATTGGTTGATATTGAATAAATTGGAGTGTGTATAAGTATCTTATCTTCCTTTAATATTATTTCATAATTTTATAGCTTATGTTCTACTAAAGTCTTATGGATTTCTAATTCTTTGAAAACATGTTTATATTTCTTGTACTATTTTAGTATTATAAACTCCTTTGTCTTAATTACAATTTCGTACCATATCGTTAGCTTTTATATTTGTAAAGGAGGTGTATTGTTCTTTGCTTTTAATAAAGGATTCTGGACTAAATGTCCTATATCGTTAATGTTATTTGTATTTAACTTTTCTTAATGTATGTTACATTTTGCGAATACTTTGAACATATCGTTATGATTGTTTTTATATTAATCAAATATTATTGTTTCTTGTGATTAATTTATTCTAAAGTTATATACCTTTAATTATAGTATCCTTAAGATGATTTGTTGTTAGCTCAATAGTACAACATTAAGCTATATAACCTTTAAGTATTAGGTTATATTCATTTGTACTAATTATATCTCCTGTGAAATGTTCCTGTTAAATTCTATTAATTATTTGTCAATTAACTATAATTAATAGGATTTTTGTTTCTTTTGAAATGAAACTTTTAAGTACTTTATAGTTTCTGATGTAATAAAGTTTCTTATAGCCCCTAAATCTATTATGACTTATTGTATTTGTTCATTTATTTTGATCTTATAGTATATTTATTCTACTTGTCCTATAGTATTTAATTACTAGGTAACTTGTTTTTTGTTTGTTTTATTAGATTATTGGTTCCTTGTATTTCTTTTCTTGAAGAACTATTCGATTACTTCTTTATTTAATTAATGAATTCCATAGAATTTATTATAGTAAATAGTCCAGTTCATTATTACATAATCTACTGATATCTCTTCCTTATAACATTCTTCTATTATCGAAGGTAATAGGGTTCGGTAATACTTTTATTCCTACAAATCTACTATATTTATACCCTTTTGGTTTTGTGGTAGCTTATCTAATAATTTCCGGAACTTTTTATTAATGAAGGTTTCAATTTCTTCAATCTCAATTGAGTGTTTTTGGGATATAAAGGTAACATTAAGTTAACCTTTACCGAATTTGAATTTGAAGTTACTCTTCTTTCCTTCTGCTTTCTTACTTTAACAATCTACTACCCAATACTCTACTTTTCCATATTCAAAATATAAATTGTTTTCTTATCTTTATTTCTTTTCTAAATTATTATTCCCCTTCTTATAATACATAACATCTAGTTCCATAAGGTCCCTATAATTCTATAGATTATAATATAATCTTCCCTCATTCTTACAATAACATTCTTGCTTTTGATTTCCCTGGGTTTTATATGATCTTTGATCTTATTAATATTAATAAAGACAATCATCTGATTCGATGAAGTCCTGGATTAGGTCGTTTAAGTCTACATTCTCGGCAGATCTTTTTAATTCTAGTCTGACTTCTGATTTGAGTCCTTTATAATAATAACTTATAATAACAGTTTTGTTTTACTTAATTATTCCCGTATATCTTCGGAATTCTGTAGTATACTTTAATATTGATTCTGTCTGTTTGAGATTGAAGATCTTATTTTCCGTTACCTCTAACTCATTAGAGTTTCCAAAGATTCTATGGATTTCTGTTTTGAATCTTTCGAAACTATCGAAGATGATTCTTGTGGGTTGTATGTATTCCCTATCGTTATGCTCGAAATAGTTGTGTAGGTATGGCTGAATCCATTTGCCTGTCTCGTCTCTAAGGTATGATACAGCCTAAATACTCTTAGATTCCTTTTCGATGAACTTATCTTAATTAAATCTAAAATAGATTTCGAATTATAATAAAAAGGTATCGAGTTCCTATCGACTTCCTTGGTACTTGTCTAGTAAAGCAATCTTGAGTGTTTCGTTGATAATGATCTCCTTAAAAGTATCAGTCATTTCAATATTATCGAAGTTGTTTGTTAGGGTTTGTTAACTTCTAAAAGAACTGTTGGCTGTTATATTGACGGTTGATATTGAATTGATATTTGAAGTAGAAAGAATGTTCAAAGTGTTATAGGAATTATCTCTAGGGTTATATGGAAATGTTTAAAAATCTCTTGAAATAGTTTAAATTAGATTTCAAATAGGAATTCAATAAGATTATAATTAATTACAATTCTCGTAATTATAGTAATAAAACTAATGATTATTCTTAAGTATAAAGCTTTATATATAAAGAAACCCTATTTCTTATATAGACCTTCGTTTTCTACAGAACTATAAGGCTTTGTTCTACTTGGATCCTTTGGATCTTATAGATCTAAACATTTATTCTTCGATCCCCTAGATCCTCTAGGTCCATCACGTGATTGTTTGGCCATGTGACGCGGTATGTTGGATACTGTTGTAACAATAAAGTGTTACGGGAGCTGCCTCTAGAGTCACATGGAAGTGTCTAGAGTTCTCTCGAGGTGGTTTAGATTAGACTTCAAATAGGAATTCAATAAGGTTGTAATTGGTTGCAATTTTTATAACTATAGTAATGAAACTAATGATTGTTTTTGAGCACGAAGCTCTATATCCTAATGAAACTTATTTGTTATATAGACCTTTGTTATCTGGAGCTCCTGGGATCTGTATGCTCCTAGAGCCTGTAGCTTCTCAAGGCTCCCTCATATGACACGCGAATGTGTTATGTGATGTTTGTCGTAATATAAAGAGAATAATATTATATATTTATGTTTATTATTGTATTTAAGTTATTTAATTTAATCATTTGATATTAATTGTTTTAACAATATAAAATGTTTATATGGTAATTAGATTAATGAATTTATTAAAATATATATTAATTATATTTTAAAGGTTAAATTCTTTATAGCTTTTAAAACTATATATAAGGAATTAATCGTTTCTCAGAATATAAAATCAAGATTTCGAGGAATAGATTTAATTTTATTTAATTTTGAAGTTGTATTTTCGAAATTAAATATTTGAATTCGTATATTTACTCTTTCCTTTTTTAATTTAGATTAATAGATCTCTTAAACCTTTTATAATTTAATAGAAGCTCTTTCTCAATCAATATTAATTAAATCTCGAATAATTTGTTATCAATTAATTTTCCTTATATTTATATTCGAGATTATATTAATTCTAGTTACAAATATAGAAAGATTAGTTTATAAAAATATTTTTTTGATTATAAAGATTTATATACTTTAAAAAATAAATGAAATATTAAACAAATATTGATGTATAAATTTTTTTTAATTATATTAAGGAGGAATGTTTATTAGATAAAAAGCTTTTAATATATTATTTCAATAAAAAGTTGATATTTAAATTCAATATAATAAATATTAAAAAGGAGGGAATTTTAATAAAAAAGTATTTTTTAATTAATATTATAGTAAATATGGAAAGATAGGTTATAATATAAGAATCTATCAAAATAATATAATAGATTTTAGATTATTAGATTTTTAATAATCTTAATTAATTGATTCAATTATTATTGAATAATATAGATTTGAAAGTGTAAATCGAGGTGAAAGTGGGCCACATGCTGATAAACTACGTTAATGGTTTCTATCCATTACTGAATGTAGCAAGGTGCCAATCATGAAAACTCTTGGTCTCAATTCCATGCGAAAGTACGCCTGTAAAAGTGTGCGTTTGAACTATGAGCACAAAGCAGTCACAAGCAAACAACGCTGCCAAGTGATACCGGATCGAAGTCGGGAACATCCACAAGAATTAACAGGCCATGTCAAATGCAGAAAATAAGCTCTACAAGTCAAAGAAGCTATTGAAATGTGGCAGCAGGGTTCACATAGCAGTGTGGAGAAGGAGACCAGCCTACTCTGCTATGTGATTTAGTAAAAGACTCATGCACGTCCCACTTTTTCACGAAATCTTACATCTTATCTGATCCGAAATTTCCATCTAATCAGATGGTAATACTGGACAATGGAGAAGGAGGAGTAGATATCAGCCAATAAATATGTGCAAACTTATCCGATGAAAATCTGATGTTGTGGTGGCAGCGCAAGATGGTATTAGCGTCAAGCAAAGATCTTTTGATTGGTTCTTCGGACCAACAGGAATCATTTCACTTGATTTCTTTCCGTCCACTATGTATTTGGCTTCTTTCAAAGAACTCTCGCGTCAGGCAATTATTAGCATAAATGGGGGCATCTTAGTTGAAGTCAGTTCTCAATAATTTGTGGTACTCTGAAGCCGCCCCAGAATGTTTCTCGTCCTCAGCTAATCTGATTCAATCTTATCTAATCTAATCGATCTTCGGTCATAGGAACAACCTAGACAAGAGTTTCCCGCCTCTCTTTATTTTTACTTTTCACGAACGTTAGGTCAAGTGCGACGTTTCTTGGATTATCGGACCACGTCCACATGCAGGGACACGGCACAAAGTATCTTGCTTGTTTTCTAATAGCGCATCGACCCATAGTGGATTTCTTCGGAATGTCGCCGAATCCCCTTGGCATGTCCAATGTCGTGAGTCAAAGTGGAGATTCAAGTAGACCGCATCTCAACCTTCGGGACCGTAAATTTTGGCCCTTCATTTCGTCCCCATATATGAAGGCACGTCGCCGATCAAGTATGCATCTATCCATCATCTTAGACAGCTCAATCACACCACCCAAGTCATCACCTTAAGAGAAATCATCACTTCTATCAGCATCATGGTTTTCATCACATCAATTGTCAAGGTCGCGGCTGTTACCGGGCTTCTCGCTCCTGACCGGAACTCAAGCCGACGTTGCCACCGCCATGCTCGCTCAGAGCGCCACTACAACCGCCAGCGGCGCTAGCACTGGATCAGCTTCTAGCAGCACTGCCACTGGATCTTCTGCTTCGGTATGTGTTATTTTGCTTTATCAATAGACTGAGTGGTTGCTAATTTTCATGAAGCCTACCTCTGCCAGTGGTGCAATTCAACAAATCAACGCGATCCGCGGTTATCTCATCGGTGGTATCAGCATCCTCGCTGCCGCTGCTGTCGCCAACTTGGCTTGATTATGAACCAACCCCTAAGAAACATGCAGACGGCTTTAGTAGTGTGATCCAGTGGTCAATGAATAAATGATGATATTTTTTCGAGTCGATGGTGTCTTTCTCTTATTTGGTATATGATTTAAAATGCGAATCGTCTTAATCAACCAACTATGTTTCTTCAAGTAAAATATGCCATGCTTAGATCTTTTATGCTGCTGTGAAAAGGCATGGTTTCATATGAGTAGAGTAATCTTGCAACCTATAAAATATGAAATCTGTCTTTCGATCTTGTCAAAAATTTATGCGAATTTAATCGAATCCACATAAATTATCGGAATATCGTGAGACACATTAGCTCTGCTAATTCGAGACTCTGGGAAAACCGTCAGTTTTGTGATCTTCCAGGGAAAAGAAATCACGGAATAATATTCCCTTCGACCAAGCAAATTAACTCCGAATTGACCGAGGAAAACTGGGGATGCGGAGATGACTAAAGGATCAGATAACTTAGATGTACCTACACACTCGCTTTATGTCTTAAATCCGTCGCTAGCTCTTTGGGGCGGCCTGCTATCGTATATATATTCAGTGATTATCTCCCCAGTTGTAAACCATAAAAAGTCATTCTGAGATACTTCGCTACTGAATACATACAACGAATATCTCCAAAGAGCTCTCACATAATGGGTTTCCTATTGTACCTCCAAATCGCCAACATAGCCTTTCATCTCCTCTTCAAACTCGTCAAACAAAAATTCACAGCCCTCATTCACCATTTCACGTACCGCGCAACCTCGCATCCAAAAAATATCCTCATCGTAGGCGGTTCATTTTCTGGAATGCAATTAGCGAGGCTCCTTTCCACATCCATACCTTCCGGATACAAAGTTATGCTTGTAGAAAAAAATACACACATGCATTATTGTTTTGCCTTTCCGAGATTCAGCGTGCTGGACGGTCATGAATATAAAGCTTTTATTCCTTATGAGGGATTGTTGAGATGTGCGCCGGAAGGAGCGATTTCTATTGTTCGTGGGGAGGCTGTTGATATTCATAAGAATTATATTGAGCTTGCGTCAAATGAGAAAATTGCTTATGAGTACCTTGTTATTGCAACGGGTGTATCGCAGCCTGCGCCGGCTCGACTATCCGCGACGGATAAAATAGGTGGTGAAAGCGAGTTGCGTAGCTGTCAAAAAGCTATCCAGGCCTCTTCAAAAATTGCAGTCATTGGTGGTGGTGCAGTGGGAGTCGAGCTCGCAACTGATATCAAAAGTTTCCTGCCGAATAAGAACGTGACGTTGATTCACTCTCGAGATCGTTTACTTGTTAGATTTGGACCACAGCTGCATGAAGTGGCTTATGAGCGACTTCAGGAGCTGGGAGTGAAAGTTCATTTCAATGAACGCCCTTCGTTGCCTAATATTAAACCGTTCATACCATCGGAGACAGAGATTGTATTTAGGGATGGTCAAGTTGAGACTTTTGATCTTGTGGTATGCGATAGGTATTATCGTAAAGTCTCTTGAGAGTCGATTACTAACTTGAAAAGATATCATGCACAGGACAAAGTCCAAACTCCAGCCCACTCAAAACCCTTTTACCAAACACAATCACAGAAGATGGTTTCATCCGTGTAGAACCAACATTGCAAGTCAAAGCCGAAGATGAAAAACACGGAAATATATTTGCTATAGGAGATGTTGCAGCTACCAACGGTCCAAAGATGGCATTCGCAGGCATGGCACAGGCGGAGGTTGCTTGTTCCAATATCCTTTCTTTGATTCGAGGATATCGGAATACACTTCAACCGTACATTCCAACCTTTATCGAGGGAAAGACTAAACTGAGTCTTGGAAAAGTAAGTAAACTATGGGTCCCCCGATTTTGAAGTCATCTTCTAACTTCTGTATGACACAGGACCGCGGGGTGTTTTTCATGGAGAATGAGAATGATTATTTACTCAAAGTTTCCAGTCATGATACAACTGATACGGATGCTAAGAAAGTGTGGAAGTTCTTTGGAGCGGATATAAAAGAATGGAAGAATTAAGTTTAGCTGCTGTCTTGAGTTTAGCTTCTGTCTCATTATGTAGCGTTTTGAAAGATCTTGCATTCGTTCTCTAATAGACAGAATATTCATCAAATCAATTCCTTCGAGAACTTGCATTCTCAGTCTCTTTACCAATCGCACGTATTCTCTCACCACAATAGTACAATACAAAACAGATAGGACCTCCTAAAACAATCCACCCGAAACCCAATTTATCATAAATCTGGGGCCCAAAGATAGGTAGACTGAATCCTATAACGTTCGAACCCTCTCGAGAAACCGGATCTTCCGATGCTCCGCAATTACCAAACTCACCAAGTTGGTAAGCAAGAAGATTTTGACTGAATACCATAATCCCTAGAGTAAAGACAGATGCGCCGATATCAACTACAGCCCATGGACCAGTCACTTCGGGCACCCAGCCGTATCAAAACAGTCCAATAGGCATTAAAATAGCACCACCTATTGAATATGGAACACGGAACTCTGGTCTGCGATGATTGCTGTTTTTGTTGCAAAGACGTCTGTATAGCGAGTCCATGATACGATCCCCAATTTGAGACGCAGTTATTGCGCCAATGGCGATTGCAATATAATGAGTAGCGATGGTTGATACTGTTTGATTGTAATGCTCTATACAACGAGTGGTAAAGATTGAAATCAAAATCGTGTAAATGCCAAAGCCAACTCCAAATGCGAGTGTGATTAATTGAATTACTGCCCGACGTATCAAGATCTGGAAGGGGCGGATAAGTCCGACAGGCAATTGAGGAACAGTTCTTTCCAATATTGAATATTGAATGTCATCTCGAAGTTAGATGTAGATGGAGCTTCAGATTTTGACCTTCGTCGAAGAAGAACTGGTGTATAAGATTCTCGAATGAAACAGTATTCTGATAAGGTTATGAGACTATTAGGGAGGCTATCCCGCAGAATATACCACGCATTGCAAAATAGCCATACACCTTTTCGACCAGTGACTTCAGAGAACTCGGCAGCCACGAAGGATCCAATAGCTAGACCAAGAAACTAAGTAGAAAACACAATCTGAGCAGTATAGTCATCGACCTAGATATCGCCAAGACCTGCAGCAATCATACTGGCTGGCATTAAAGTCACCAGCTGTCCTAGGGAAAATATAACACCAATTGTGATTTTGCGCCATGAAGGCCAACTATGGGGATTTTCTAGGTCATCTAGACCGTTCCAGGGGTCTGCCGAGACGTTAGTCTAGGTGTTTCAGATATATACTAGATTGACAGACTCCATATTCTTTTCTGATCGTTTCTGGATGTCGAGAAGCTTCGTCATCTGGATCAAGCACTGGTTGAAAACCTTCGATATTTTGCTTCTGAACTGCTAGAACCAGAATAATGTTGTTTTCTGGAGACACAATCATTTTTCTGTAGCAGCGCTTATAATTTAGGATCGATGAGACGATTCTTGTAAATTTGGACTAAGATTCGGTATTTGACTCAGAATAAAAAGGGACAAAGAGCGAAATAAATAGAAAGGAAACGGAATTGAGTAATTAACAATACATTAAAAGCCCTATTAGAACGGAGTAGGTTTACTGAATAGATCAGACTGCCTACTGTGAAATCCAATTCTTCGAACTTTCGGAATTGACCAACCTTGAACGGAGTTGAATTCTCCTCGGAATGACGTCCACTTGATGCCACCTAAAATTATCTGATCCGCTTCATGATTCTCTACAAAGTCATCTGATCCGTCCAAATCTTGACTACTTTACAGACAGTCAGCCCTACCTAACTTCTGCCTGCCTCTGACACAACCATACATCTGTCGTCACGCACTGAACAATCTACTTTTCTCTCCGACTCCGGAATAGATACATCTCGTATGCCACCGCCGACTAATCTTCACCAGGTTTTGATTCACATTAAAAAAACTCCAATCGAGATATCAGGTCCCTGGACCAAAGAATCCCTAGAGTCTGAAATAATCTAATATATTTCCAAAGTTCTGATCGAACGACATTGCATGTTGAAAGATAAGCCGGTCTCGACCTACACTACTTGAGCGAATTCAGAAACCCTTTCGCTTTATCCTTCCAACCACCATTAGACTGCGGTAATGGTCCAGATTGTTGTACAATATTCTCATTCTCTCCCTCCATAGCAAAGTGTAACATAGCTTGTACAACCATACCACCCATTTGTTTGCCATCACTCCAACTGATTCTCATTTCCCCTTTTTCCGGCTGGCAACTCCTTTCATGTGGATATAAAGTATATCTTAATCCACCTCCTCCAAACCTTGGAATCTCAGGTCCTTCCCATTCTTCCCAAGGCCCTTCTAATCGCGGCGCACATGCAATATATATCTTGTTGGCCGGAAACTTGTTGTTCCCAAACCAAAGGTATGGTCGTCCTTTAGGTGCTAGTTCCGGAACTTTAATAATTGCGCCTTGCGCCTGGACTGGAATGAGATTGACGAGTTGATGAAGTGAATAAGAACGATCCCATACTTTGCTTTTTCCATCCAGAGTATGAATGAGAAATTCGTAATTTTCTCGCGAAGTAAAATCAGACCCCGATCGAATGCGTGCCCAATGATTCTTGAGGTCAAGGGTTGGAGATGGAGCATCTTTAGCACCAAAAAGATAAATATATCCATCATCTCCTACGATATAGGTTGTTATACCAAAATGTGGCTCATTTTCCCCGAAGAGCATTTTGTCGCCCTAATTTTGTGAGTAATCTAAGCTTGAAAAAAGGCCACAAAGGATTCAGTTCAAGAGCCGTAAATAGAACTTCTCATCTCAATTTCATAATAGATTGACTATCACACCTTTTTGGGGACAAATTAATCACAAATTGCATTACTCACCATCAATCTGTCCACTTCCAAAGAATTGTCAGGTTGAACTTGAACCCGCGCAACACCTGTACCAAAACTCTTGCCAGCCGTAGATCCATGCTTTTAATGTCGTTAGCCAAACCACATCCTACCAAGAACTTCTCCCATGCATCTCGAAACACTCACCGTATACATCTTTTCATAAAACACCCACCCATCTCTTGCTCCCGGAAAATCTTCAATGATACCCCCAAATACCCAATTCACAACCCTATTAATCTTTTCCTTATTCTTTGGGTCCTTCTCATACTCTTCTTCGCTACGCGTATGAGGAATAAATGATGGTTGATATGCATTCTCATGCATGTATGTACAAGTCAATGGATCATTTCGGGGATCTGGAACATAGGCAACAGTGTTATTGGAGACTCCGACAAAATGATTCGAGGAACTATGACAGAAAGTATCGCCGAAGAGATAGTATGTGTTGCCCCCAAGGTAAACGGGGCGACCTATATCACGGGGATATCGACGGCCGGAAACTAGTAGTTGAGGGTTATTGTATAATCATGAGATTTTAAGAGTATTGACTTGCTATCCTTGACTTCACCGAGAACTTCAATGTTCTTGATCTGAGGTGGCCTACGTGACAACATTTAGAAATCATGACAAGTAACGCTTTCATGACAATTGACCTCACCATTTCATGTGAGGCATTTTGCTGGCGCCCAATAATTGATATGAAAGTCTCGATCATCGGGATAATATACAATATAATACGTTGAAATAGTATTGAGTGTGCTATTTTATACACTATCAAACCTGAAAGCATGCTCAATCTGCTGCTGCTGCTGCGTGATGTCACTATCACAGGCATACTTGTATACCTCGGTTAGCTCATATTGGTAGATATTAATATCAGGGTAGTGATCAACCGCTGTAATCGCGCCTTCCCCCCTATGAAGTTCCTTGTCCACGCAGGGAAGTAATCTACTATATGGCTTTCTCGGTTGTTGATTGGTGGCTGAACATTGGAGCTTTTGTCTGAGATAATTAACGGGTGAAGGACGCTCGGGTGTGGACAATATAAACAATAAATCAGCATTCTTTCTCGAAATCGAATGCAGGTCAATGATTTTGACAAAATAGATGGCAATCTATCGGGAAGGGAATATCTACTCGCATACTCGTAGTATAATAACAGTATGTATACAGTTGCTGCAAAGATAATTGGTTCAATAATAAGCCACAACAATATCTGCAAGTAAGCCCAGTCCCAATCCCTCCAAGCCTTCCAAGCATCACCACAATATCTTCATTAACTTTTCACGACTTGTCGCAATTCTCCATACTATCCCCATTATGAACAACTAACTTATCTCATTTCGAATAATACAATTCTCCCATTTATCTCCTCTCAGAACATATATCCTCACCCGTATAATGCTCCCCCGCAAGCTTTCAATCTTCGTCTCCTTCTTCCGCGTCGGTTTGGATTTCCAGCACTTTCTGATTCTTCTCACATGTATCGGTATCGCCTGTCTGGTAGGTAACATACTGCATTTGAGAATCCCACCCTTTATTTTACATCTCGTATTCCCCTCTTCCTCTTCCTCTCCCAATCTCCCAGTTCGTTTTCACCTATTCCCAATCCCCATTTCTCTCTAAAGCTTCACTCCTCTACCCAACCCCCCTAACCTCAACCCCCAACTCACAACTCCCTCACCCAGTCCTCCTCCCACTAAGCTGCACCACCCACCCCACCCACACCATCTACCTGCTCTCCCTCTCCTATGCCTCCACTCTCCCCACCCCCCTCACCCAAACCCTCCAGCGCAACCTCAGCTCTCTTCTTCCCCCAAATACTCAAAAAGAGTTCACTCATGATCCGCACCGGTTTTCGGGGAATATGTATGACTTCTCAATTTGCGAGTTCGGGATGGGAATGCGCTCAACATGCGGGGATATTAAAGGATATAATCACGAGTGCGAGCACAAGTACAAGTACAAATACACATTCGACCACGGATATCGATCTCGATATTGATCCCCTAAATCTCCTCCAACTAGCCGAGTCTGTGAGGAAAAGAATTGTATTCGATGGATTACTGTGCGTTTTCTTCCCCTTCTTTTCCCTCTCCTCCTCTCCTCCTCTCCTCCTCTCCTCCTCTCCTCCTCTCCTCCTCTCCTCCTCTCCTCCTCTCCTCCTCTCCTCCTCTCCTCCTCTCCCCTCTCCCCTCTCTCCCCCACAAACCCCCCAAGAGACCCAATACCAAAACCCCCACCACCCCACCACCCTAACACCCCCCTCCCAGCTACATCGCCCTCCCCCTCACCCTCCTAACCCTCCTCCTGCTGCTCCTCATCCCCCGCTGGAAAAACCGACATAAACCCCGACAACCCGCCTCCTCACGCCAAGTAAAAGCCTTTCCTTCTCGTGCCCTCAGCTTTACAATCTGCTTAACGAGCGGTAGCGCCTTCCTCTTCGCATTTACATCTATTCTCTGGCAGCATCTGGCCGCGGTGACAGCTTCGCGATTTATCGAGCGGATGAATTATGGGAGTGTGGTGGCGAGAGTGGGGAGTACCGCTATGGTGATAGGATGGTTGGGGGTATTAATGTTATGGTTTGCGTTTATGGGGTGTCTACTCATGGTGTTGAGTTTGAGGAAAGTGAGGACTTTTGGGTAATGTATCAAGTTTCAAAAATGAAATAATATATCACTGAGAATTAGATAGGATGGTCATACAACATCTACATTGTATCATCTATCGGCTATTCAATATCCAATATGCAAAATGGTATCATCGGATCATCTACAAAATTCTATCCCCCAAAGAAAGAAAATCGATTAAAAAAGTCATAAATCCCCGTCTTGTCATGCAAATCACCCCAGAAACAAATTAATAACCCTTTAGGGTTGTATTTCCCAATGCTTCCTTCAACTCTTCGACGAATAACTCCAGGCGACTAATCATCGAACCCCATTTTGGTAATTCATGATCAGCTGTACTTTGCTGAACACTGGAGCTCACGACACTAAGCTTCAAACTTGGGACAGCTGAGTTGTCAATTTCTGTGTCATTTAGAAGTGTGATGCGGTATTGGAGATTCTTTCTAAGATATGGTTCGACATCCACATCGTTCAGAGATCTCAAATGACCTTCTGAAATATCGTCGAGTAAGGCACTAGTAAGGGGAATCGTTCCTGTGACCAACTGATTAGGATCAGCTACAACGGTACCTGAGGATGAAAGCTTCGCAAAGACGCAGTGAGTGCCGACTAGATTAGGTTCGAAGGACCAACTGGCGGGGTCATCATTGAAAGGTCCAAGGAAGACGTGGATAAAGAATGACCTGGAGAGGGCAAATTTCTCAACCTGAATATTAGCGATCCATTCAGTGTATTGACCATTTGGGGCGAGAGCAAGGGAGATGAGATCATATGTCGAGTTAAGTTGGTGCTCCCGTCCTAATAATTTAGAAGTGAGACCTGGAATCAAGCCGCGAGAAACCGTTTTTGCCGGGGCAGTCGTCCCGTATAGAAGATTTATAGCCTTGATAGCTTGAGCAGTTGTATTTCCTCCTGGTAAAGTTTCTGGATATGCGTAACCAAAAGATTCCGTTGATACAACATCAGAAGAAGTATAAAAGTCGTTTCCATCGGCGTTATAAAATGGTTTTAGTGGTGTAGATACATCTTGGGTAGTTCCAGCCGTCATGGTGAAAGTGCTATATGAAGCTTCTCTGGGAGTAACATAACTGTCAGGGTTCAAGGTTTGCCAAATGGCAAAACAACGATCGATCATTGTATGATGCAGAAAGAATAATGGATCGAAGGAAGAGTAATCGATATAAGACATGTGGCCACCACTTCCTGTCAATCCGTGAATTTGATCGTGAAGAGACTCAATGGAATCAAAATCTCCTGGGCTAGAGGCGGTAATCCATGCTTCATTACTGAACGTGCTGTAGTCGTGATAATTGGTGAAGAGGTTGTAGAGACGGTTTCTGAACGATGCAGCACTATTATCAAGCTGTTGAGCAACAAGGTTGTTCTGTGAAGTAGCAGAGGCATCATTAGATGTGGGGTATCTCAAGGTTTGGGGAAACTGGCTGAACTAAGAATTGTTAGTTGGTAAATCATCATGAACAATTCATTCTCAACTTACAGGTGCATCAGGCAACTCTGATGGGTCCAAAGGGTTGAAGTGATAACTAAACAGTGGATTGGAAATGGTTTGAACACCGGCAGGGCCATTGACAGTAACAGTTGGTTCCGAAACACTTGGGGGTAAAACACTCTCCCCAGCGGGTGGTACAACAGCCCAATCCCAATATGGAATACGGAAGTTTGCTGCAGCGGCAGTATACCTGTCTCTCTCGGCTCCAGCGGGGAACTGTGCTGCAATGAATTCAACGACACTATGGAGTACTTGCTACAGAAAGTGTCAATAAATATGTCTCAGATGGCATGCATAGGATGTCTACCTCATAAAGTGCCAAGTAAGGCCTGTGCCAGGTAGGAAAGAGAATCGAGACATGGGTACAATATCCGTTATTTTCGTTACCAGGAGTTCCTTGAACTTCGTCATATGGGAGATAAGGTCTACCATGGATACCTTATTGAGAGGTCAGCAGTTTACCATTTACTACGTAGCATCGATAATTACCGGCTATTTGATACCATGAACGAATATCTGATTGATTGATAGTTTGCATCATTGACACCCCCAGAATATATAGCTCCCAAAGATCCGCATTCTTTTGTAGATCCCGGATTTCTTGACGAACTGGTATGGATGAATTGGAGCCGTTAAATGAGACTCCAGTAGTGGGCATAGGAGTAACATCCCGTTTCAAAAGCGCTCCTATGTCTACACCATAATCATAACCTCTTGGTCGATGATCGTGAGGTCTGGGGATTGCTTGTGCTGTTTGTGACAGAAATGAACCAGCAATGGTAAGGAAAGACACGATCGAGGCTCCTCGAAAAAAGACCATTTTGATAAGAAATTGCCAATTATTAGTGAGGAATCTCGTAGATATGGCGAATGATCTTCAAGTAAAGTTCTCTTCAATGTTATGACAATGCTGCAGTAGTAGAGACTGCGATTGGCGATGGATATAAATATCAAAGGGGTGGAAGGTAAAGCAGAATAAAAGTTTGAAAAACTGTAACTTCAGATTCACCAGATGAAATACTTCGGCACTGCAATGAGAGTGCGTGCAAACAAATGAATGGACGAGAATGAGATGGCGATGAGAGAGAACCGCCCCCACTACTCAGTGCTCAAGTAGAATGGGTGAGTGAAAGAGTGAATGAATGAATGAATGAATGAATGAATGAATGAATGAATGAATGAATGAATGAATACCAAAAAAGACAGTAAATGAATGTGTGTAAAGAAAATGAGGGATAAGAAGGGAGTAATGCAAATCCAAAATAGAAATGAGACTTAAATGACGAAATATCCACGGTTACATACTCTTATATTTGATTTGTTTCTTTTCCCCAAGAATCTTGGTGGAACAAAAAGAACCTTATGATGGATGCAAGAAAAGATTAGGGCTCATATGGAATCCAGGAACCAACACCTTGCCATGACTCCAGGCTGAGCCTCCGTCAGTTGGGAATTGGCGTTGAAGGAACGGCCACTCATATTGAATAAGAAAAATTAAAGATTATACCAAGAGAACGGATTGCACGAAAACGTGATTTCCCGGCCATGTTTGGTTGGAAGCGTCCATCGGCAGGTTGCCGTTAGGATTCGTGTAGCGTCCCATTAGGATGGACTTGTGGTCATCATTAAAATTTGAAGATCAACATCCTTCGACCATAGTTGGAGGCGAAGTTCAGCAGCTCATCTTAGGACAGTGACTGTAGCTCGGTCGCAGTGGTGGTGGTAGTGGTAGTGGTAGTGGCAGTGGCACGTACACGGTGGTATTGGTAGTATTGGTGTAGCTCGTGTAGCTCGTGTAGTATCGTTATAAATACCAATACAGATACATTCTGTGCATGGTGGTTGTCGATCCAAGTGTTCATCAAGTAAGATCTTGGAGAGATCAGGTCTAGTCCGTACCTAGTTCTAAGAAAGTTTGAGTAAGGATTAAAAGAGGAGCTCGGCAGGAGAAATCCTCAAGATTAAGGTTAAGGTTAATGATTACTGTATTTAGGGTTTCTCTGAAGGTGGGACGTTGGGGGAACTATGTATCGACTTATGTATTCTACAGCTACGAGTAGGGATGGGGAGATGATATAGACATACCTACTATTCAATAGAGATGATAATCATCCATTATCAACATACTCCTATCTGATCTATGAGACTCTGACCCATCTGATTTTCTACTTACTCATTAGTACACCAGGTACCATCATTCAGATGAAAATCGATATATTCTCCACCTCTTCCATCACTAGGCAGGTACCGGTATGTGCAGAATACAAGCGTTCTGTGTTTCTTGTTTCAGAAATCAGTCTATCCCGAGTCAGAAGCAACTTTTGCTTCTATCCAGTCCAGTGTCCCCCTGCCCACCTACCTATCCATCTACCGACCTATTCATCCACCATCGCTACCTACAAGTGCCTAGGGGCCTACCTCCCGAGCTTCCTAGATACCCAGTACTGATCTTAAAGTACCTATCTATACCAACATCTTCTTGATCCCCGCGATCGGTACTACCATTAGCCATTAGCTTACCTTCCCTAGCTAGAGAATCACACGTGAAAATGATTGTTACATGATGTCAGTGCCAGTGCCAGTGCCAGTGCCAGTCAGTGCCAATACCAATGCCAGTATCCTAATTCAAACTTCTTCCTTCCTCTCCTCGAGCTCTCCTCCTTCATCCATCTTCTCACCCATTCTCGAGCCATTCTTCCATCTTGGGCCGCTTACCCCCCTCAGCACACTGCGGACGCCTTGGCATATTACTTACCTCATTTGGTCATCCGCTCCTTTCTCGTGTCATTCATCCACCATTCTACAGCTAAGATTATTACCTCTTTCAGATGTCTCGATACAATTCAATCCAATCCAATCCAATCCAATCCATTTGCCGTGGTTGTATTTTACGTACCTGCCTAGCTGAGTATGCTTTATTGGACGGTGGGTAGATGTCTTCACTAAATACTTTGTCTAGTACTATGTACTCTCTACCTAGTTAGTAGTTTCACTAAAATAGCATCCAATTCTGGGGGCGAGAGGAAGAGACTCTGAGTGCTACACCGATTGTTAATCTACCGGTATCTGTCATCAAACCGTCGCAGAAATCATCTGGTCTTATACCAATACCATTATTTGATGATGAGGTGAGCACAGAAATTCATCCAACACATCTACCAGACCCAACACACACGCATCTATATTTTCTTTCAAAAGGTCTCCACAATCTCAAGATCCACATTCCAACATAACCAACACGGACCTGTACAATCAAGATCAAATCATAACCCCGAAGCCATCTGCAATTTTAGTTTTCATAACATTTCATTCAATCCTGAGTCAATAATCTCTATCTTGTGACGATCCATTTACTTAGTGCCCAACAAAATTAAAAGAAGTACCCCTTGTAAATGCTACAATTATACCTTTTCCCAAGAACGCCTGCCAAATTTCAATTCGTCAATCGTCTTTTTCTCTCCCCATATTTCTTCGCGAGTCACGCCATTCAGGGTCCAACATTATACTTCAACTTGATACCCATAGCCGCCAGTTCGACATCCAAATACTTCAACACACCCGGAACAGCCACAACAGTGGTATCCTCACCACCTACCCATCTCTGTCCCTTGCCATCTTCCCATACCTCTCCTCCACCCAACTTTCCTTCTGCTCTCGTCGCACACTTTCTACATCTAACCACGCCAGTTCCCTTCTTCTTGCTTGCGAATGCCGAAACGGTAGGTTGAGTTGACAAGAAAGTTCCACATTCCTTGCAGATCCACGACTTGGTGTAATCAGAACAGTTGAGTAATCTATCCTGCAACAAGAAAGCAGTACCGTGAGCCAGCAAAGAATCACGTTCCATCTCTCCCACACGAATACCACCACCCTTCTTTCTACCCTTGATTGGTTGACCAGTAAGTTGTGTGACTGGACCTGTGGTTCTGACTTGGTATTTATCGTTTACCATGTGACGGAGACGCTGGTAGTAGACAACTCCAATGTAAATATCGGCGTGCAACTCCTCTCCGGTAATACCAGAATACATAGGTTCATTACCGTAGTAGTTGTATCCAGCCTTCATCAATTGATGTCCGAAGTAGTCACCAGCCTTATGTTCCTCGTCGAATTTGAACGGGGTACTATCTTGAGCCAGACCATGTAATGCTCCAGCTTTTCCAGCCAAGGACTCGACGAACATACCAATAGTCATACGGGAAGGGAAAGCGTGAGGATTGATAATGGTATCAGGTTGAATACCAGATTCCGTGAATGGCATGTCGACCGCTGGCCATTTTTGTGAACAAACACCCTTTTGTCCGTGACGACTCGAAAACTTATCTCCGATAACTGGAGAACGAGGGATGCGGAGTTTGACAGAAATGGCTTGACAAGGTTCTACTCCGTTCTCGTTTCCAATCAATCGGACTTCTTCAATGAATGCAATTTCAGTCTCCTTGTACTTCTCGAAATGAGTTTGGCCATCTCGATTGACGTATTTTCCATTCTCGTCCATCGAAACCGTATGCCATGCAGCAATCAAATCACCGTTTTGAACCATTCGACCAATGAATGGCAAACCATCCTCATCAATGGCTGCTTTCCATTCAGCTTTCACGAGTCCACCAGGAGCGAAACCAAAGAGCTTCTTGATATTTCTAGCAGATCGAGATTTTTGTCCCTCCTCCAATTCATACTTTTTGGTCTTGTAGATTGTTCCATGACCGAAGCCGCGCTCGTGCGCGGACTTGTTGATAATCATAGCGTCGTCCATGTCGTAACCAGTGTAAGAAATGACGGCAACAACGGAGTTCATTCCGTTAGGGAAGTTATCAAAACCATATTCGTTATGAAGTGGTGCGCGAACAATCGGAGTTTGTCCAGTTTGAAGGCGGTAAGCTTTGTTGTCGGTTCTGTAGCGAATGGCGGTTCCTGGTGTACCCATAGATTGTTTGCCCATCTGACATTGATACATGTTTCTGGGCGATTGGTTGAAATCAGAGAAGGGGGTCATGTTGGCAAGGATAGAAAGAATGTGAGTGGGATCAAACTCGACGTGAGTGTGTTCTCCAGATTCGATCTCTTGCTCGGTAACTGCAATAGACATGAAAGGTTGTTCGAGTGGTCCAACAAAATCTTCTTTATCAAGAGGAAGATATTTCACTGGTCTGACCATTCTAGCTGGCGCAGCAGATAGATAAATACCTGGATATTGTCCACCGTGCGAATTGGGGATATAACCAATTTCCAAATTGGTTGGAACGCCATGTGACTTTTCAACCTTCCAGTAGCGTAGAGTATCTGCAATGACGAGAGATTGCTTGGGTGAACACCAGCCCATAATCTTTCCATCCAATTGGACGACAACACTTTCATCAGTGGATGATGAGCCGGTGCTGACGACACCAAGTTCAGAAAGAAGCTTGGGTAGAGCAGATACATCCGAGGCGTGTGTAAGAATTATGCATTTGTGTGAAAGATGGTTTAGCAGTCCACAAGGACTTCCATCGGGAGTGTGGACAGGACACATGAAACCCCAACTCTCTGGCAACAACTTACGAACGGTAGTAGTCTTCAATTGAGCGAAGAAACTACCTCTGTGAATCATACGGAAATGGGCAATAAATCGTAGAAAATTAATCTTTTCCGCGACAACCGTAAATCCAGAAGTTTGTTGAAGATCCAAACCCGTTGGACTGACAAGATTTCCAGTAGACATAAAGTACTCCAAAGCACCACCAACTTGTTCATTTGTCCTTGAACAAATTTTGACTGGGAAGTCTTTCAAGAATTCTGGAGTCGCAAAGTTGTTTTCTGGACTTCGTCGAACATAGTCCCTCAATGCCATTCTCAAACTAGTGTGAAGCCAATCTTCAAGTCTCTCCTTGATGATCATACCGAACAAGAACCCTCCGAGTAAAATTTCTTGATTCTGGACCGCATCAGGATTGTCACCAGCACAGTCTCCAGCAACCAAAGAATACAACTTCCTAGTCATGAAAAGAAGCATCTTGAATTTGTCCTTATCTTGCGCTTCTGTGACGTCTGTATTTCCCAGATGGACGAGGACAATTTTGCGCAGGAATTCTGTTCCGACATCGTAGTTTGACATAGTGTCTGGAACTCCAAGTACAATTCTAAATTTCTCACCCAAGTATGCTCGCGTCTTGCTCTTTGTATATAAACCGTAGGCCTTGTACGTACGTAATAGCAATTCCACACGATCAGTTAAGAATGTGTTGTCCGCTCCCTTCGAACCAGCAGCACCAACAAGTCCTTCGAAGATTTCCTTGTCGTTTGTTTCCACCAATGCCTTCAAAATCATCATAGCAGGTACAAGGAATTCGTTCTTGCGCCACGAGAAACGGAAAGTAACATTTCCATCGTTGAGATAGTGAAGAACATTGGTTTGAGAGGTTTGATCGGGTCGTACGGATCGAATGAGCATACCAAATTCGGTGTATGTTGGGCCTCTGCCTTTGAATGAAGGTCTGATAATGGCCATAGGGAAATTTCTTCGATTGACAACGAGAAGACGGATAATTTTCTCAATTCCGTTCACCACGAAGTATCCTCCAAGTTCTTCGGATTCCTCTTTCTTTTGCACGAGCTGTGCTGGTGAGTTATTTTGAAGATGGCATTTATTTGACTAGAAAAGGTCAGCTCAAATCACATCTGAAATTCACGGAGGCTTGTACCATCAACATCAAAGGCAATTGCCCAAGATCTCTAATAAACTCTTTTGGATCCCCGTTGTTAATCGAGTACTCCATGCGCGCCGACATCTTTCCTCTGTAGGTAACATGTCGTTCTCTGCACTCTGCCGGTAAGATTTCTCTGTTTTTGGTAGAGAACTTGTTGGATGCAGGTAACATAGACTTCTCGACGAAGACTTCCTTAATCCTCACAGTCAACTTATTCTTTCCTCGTGGGCCTAATCTATCATCTCCATCGAGGTAGGTTTTGGATCCAATATCCAATAACCCTTGAGCAATTAAACCATCTTTCTCGAACAGTGCATTGAATGATTCGATATGAGGAGCAACTGCAGCGGTAAGTGCAGGATATGCTGTGTGATCTTTTGGAGGGTCTCGGAAAAGTTTCTCTCTTCGAACGGTATCAAACTCGTGAGTCCATTTGGTATTTGTAGGAGTGGAGGTAGGCTTCGAGGGAGCCATGGTGAAGCTGAGCGCAATTGATTAGTCGATGTGTTTCAATGAGAGTATGTCTAAAAGACTAATCAAGCTTAAAGCAAAATGAATACTTACGATCAAAGCAAATCCTTCAATTCATGGGAAACTTTACCTTCTCGAAAGAATTTGTCTATATCAAATGAACGGCATCTACAAGTTGCGGCAGAAAAAAAAAAACTTTTGATTATATAAGCCATCCAGGTATTTATCTCTTATCGTCACAATCGTAGCATTTGAGTGATTGGCTGAGATTGGTACTACTACTAGGTAGGTAGGAAGGAGCGTAGGTACAGTCAGTACTAGGTAGGTATTTCAAGGCCGAGGCTTTTATGCTTTTCTTTGGAGAAATATGGTAGGATGGATGGGTAGGATAGAAGGGTAGAATAGAAGGGTAGGATAGGTATACAGACTTTCACATTCCACATGCATCAACCATCATTCATCATTGGGCTCAAGCTTATGACCTCTCTGGGCAAACATCTTGGGCTCATATATAGGAAATCCAACGCGAGGACGCTCGATGGCTTGAATGGTTTGGATAGAGAAGAGCGAATGAAACTCTCTTCTATATCAAAAGCCTCATCAACTGCATTGCATGTATGAAGTACTACTAGGTGTGAATAATGAATGCATTGGCAATAATCCACCAAAGGAAAGTACCAAGGTACTCAGTAGGTATCGATACAACCAGTGCGTACATGTATGTGATGAAATCAGTCTCAACCTGAGTTTGAATGTTCCCGGATTCATAGCTGCATGCTTGAACCTGCGGTATGCGATATGCTGTACGAATGTATGGAGGTACTTCTGTAGCTTGAGATGCAGATACCCATATTTTACCTACTAGGTACATACAGAGATGGAACGAGAGAGCAAACGAAAGGAAGCCAACTTACCTCATTCATATCTCATTTTGGAAAAGACGTGAAGAAAAAGCAAATGCTCTCTTTACTCGAAAGGAAACATTCTTACCATATTTCTTTTTTGGCTACCGAGACGAGTCTGTCTCTCATTGTCTCAAATTTCGTGGAGATATTACCCAGGACCTATTGGTACCTTATTATTATTCACTCACCTTATTATATACGTCCCAATATTCTACTTGTTGGTCTGATAGCTCTATTGCATCGCCAAGTTTCCTGCCTTCCCTTCTTCCCATGCATCCATCCATCCTACCATTCATCCATTCATCCATCGATTTTCCATCATTTTGTCAATTGTCAATTGTCAATTGTCAATTGATATCAATAGTTCTACGCAGTATCTCAATTCTACCCAACCTAGCCAGGCCAGACCCATTCTCTCCTTCCTATTACTGATTGTATCACAACATCCAGCAGCCCAGTACCACATACTCAAAAATACTTTGACTTCATCTGGCTGTTGTGATTGCTTTTCCATTTGTACACAATTTTATCAATCGATCAATCAATCCTGTACATCATTCCATCTTCCTACCTGTACTTATCGCCTACCCGCCCGCAACCGCACAATCACTTAAAATCTTGCTCTCAATCTTGCAATCATTACCGAAGTGGTTCGTGCAAGCCTTCGTTTGAGGGGAATCACAAGCGCTACGACCGATTGTGTGCTAACCTTCCCTTCACCGTCACCTTGAACCCTTTTCATCCAGAAGCAGAATCTATCCGCCATACATACTACATTCAACTTCACTCATTCGATCTTGATTCATCCGCCATTCACTATTTCATGATTGTACAAACCATCAAGTCACTTTGAGATTTATTGAAACTGCGAACGAAGTGTACGATATACATTGGGTAGCTATCTGATCATTGGCTTACTTACGGAAAAACGGTCTGCGGCTGCACTGCATCTCTACTTCTTTTGCCGGCTTCAACCCTGCAATCTTGTATCTTCCTCTTCTCCAGAAACCTCACCTACCTACCCTACCCTACCTGCACAGCCCCGCGAATCGACGAAAGAACAAACCCGACAGAGCTCCAGGGCTTTCATCGAAACAACAAATAATTTACATAGGTGTGCAAGAGAGACTGATATATCATGGCAAGTATATTCAGACGAGTGTATGATTGGTTGCTGCGGCTTTTCTGGTATGTTCTTACCATCTGTTTGTTGCTTGAAGACGTCGATCTCGTGCGCACATATTCATTTTGACAGCAACCCTCCAAAATTGGCATTTTTAGTAAGATTTTCTGTTCTCCATCGACTAACCTTGTGATCTGCCGTTTAGGGCTACGGAAATGGACATTACGATGATCGGTTTGCAAAATGCTGGAAAGACATCTCTGTTAAGGGTACTAGCGGTAAGCTCTATTTCCACTCGCCTTTTCTCTCCGTATTGAACCTTTTACTGTGGCGGAAATGCTGATGATGGTGTTAATGTGCAGGGCGGAGAATTTACACTTGAGTACGATGATTCCTCTCCTTCATATCCAAGACAAGATACATCTACCTTCCTATCACGGCCTTCAATTCATCGAAGCGGGGTTCGCGTATTCGTAGACCCCACGTTGCGCAATCGCTCCAAGCTGACCACATTTTATTTCCCCTCATAGCTCCATTCCTACCGTTGGTTTCAATATGAAGCGTGTCCAAAAAGGTCATGTCACTCTCAAATGTTGGGATTTAGGCGGACAACCCCGCTTTCGTTCCATGTGGGAGCGATATTGTCGTGGTGTAAATGCTATCGTGTTTATTGTCGACTCTGCCGATCCTGATGCCTTACCAATCGCTAAAGATGAGCTTCATTTGCTTTTAGAAAAACCCGTCTTGCAAGGAATACCTCTTTTGGTATTGGGAAATAAATCTGATTTGGAAAACAAGTTGAGTGTGGATGAGTTGATTGAGAGGTTGGATTTAAAGAGTGTAGGACATAGAGAGGTGAGTTGTTATGGGATCAGTGCTAAAGAGGAGACGAATTTGGATGCTGTTTTGCAATGGCTGGTTGCAAGGGCGAATAAGTAGAGTGCACACGGAGGATGGATGATGGATCATCAAAGAAGTAAATCTTGTCGTGAAGTTTGGATGGAGTATTGCGGGTGCGATTTTTCCGGATATTAACGATGATCAACGACATGAAATGGCGAAAAGATGGGATGATAAATGATCGAACTTCGAAAAGGGTCTTCGCGGATCACGAATATATCTCCTCAGCTCACAGCAACCAAATCTAATTATTTTCAAATTCTTCCTTCTCGGTCGGCGAGAATCCCCTCGACGTCTAGGTTTCGACATGCTGTGGGCCGAACAGCCGGACAGAAATGTATCAAATTTCCTTGTATTCTTCTGGGTAGGATGTGCCATGTCTGCGACGATGAGACGACTTTACGACCCTCTGCTTTATTGTTGAAATATTGGGATCGACATCCAGCGTGTTGCATGGTGCCAGTTGGTAAATGAGGTAGTGGCACCTGTGTGTGTTGAAATAATCGGAGAAGGACCATTGTATTTAAAACATTCATACTTTGCGCTTCCATACCCAGTCGTATGTCCCATGAGTGCTTTGCTTTTTTCCCCTTCTCAATATATATATATTTATCTTTCATGCGATCGTTGTGAAGTGTAGATTGTAGGATTTCCGGAGATTCTTGGGGCGTTTTATGCGTTCGTCTTGTCTTCGACAGTACGTTAGGGCAATGTCGCGTTTTGGCAATGGTATAACAAGGTAATAGATGACCATGAGTCTTGTGTGTTGGGAACCCGCGTCTGTCTGAAGGTTATTCGAGCGAAGCTTGACTTGCTATCGAACTGCATATGCGCTGTCAACTTGTGTAGAATTTGTCCGCGATGAAATGCCCCCAATGCTCAGCTTATTCCGAGCGTTTCATTTGAATCCTTCGTGATGAGACCATGTTCGACTATTCGTAGATGCGCGCGTCTCCTTCGTAACCTATTTCGTGACCGGATGCCTTCCTCCCATAAAGTGCTTTGAGGCTCGAGTCGAGTTGGTCAAAAGGTTGAATTTGCTGGGAAGGTGTTTGAGGCGAATCCGAATGTTTATAGAGGCGTATTGAGTGTCTCACCTAGGTGTATTCCATAACTTGTATCAATTTCTCGGCGCATCGTATTTAATGTGTATGGCAATAGCAATAGCAATAGCAATCACAATCATGGCTGAATTCTCGGAAGCTTTTCAATGGGCTGGAAAGGCGAGCGACGAGGAGAGACATCGAGGTCCTCCCTTGAACAATTGCAATTGACGGGGAAAGGTTCGAGGGAGGGAGGGAGGAAAGAAAAGAAATAACTGAGGAGAGGGATAGTCAGGCATTTCATACCATGATGCTGAGAGATGCATCGCGCATGCTTCGCTGGCAGCCCTTTAATTCTCAGAAAAGCACAGTCCGCACGTTTGATGCGTTGGCACCGGGCATGGATAGCCCATGGCTTGCAGGAATGGAGGAGAGATGGGTGAGTGTGATTGGATGGATTGGCGAGAGGGGGGTGTGATTGAAGAAAAAAGAATCGTTGAGACAATTGGGAGGGAGGAAGATTTATGAGCGAGGCTTGGGAAAGGGAAAAGGAAAATTACAGTGTTAAAAACTAGGAGGGAAATTGATTCTAGGCGGACAGGTCAGGCAGGGCTGTGATGGAGCTTTGAGTTCGTAAGGTTGTTACTGGTGGTTGTTACTGGGTGGTTGTTGCTGGGTAAGTAAGTAACTTTATTTTGGGGGAACGAGGGGGGGGGGATTGCATGAAGTGGAATTTATAATGGGCTTTTCTTTGGGGGTGAGAAATCTAGGATGAGAGCTTATTAATAAGTGATGAAATTGAAAACATGGGATGAACGAGTTGGATGTGAACAGATAGATGATTCTAAGAGAGACGCAATACTTTTTGATAATAAGTTGATGGAAATTGATCTTGGTTGATGAGTGTGATTGGGATGGATGGATGGATGGATGGATGGAGTTGTTGGAATTGTTTTGTATACAAGGTCTCTGGTAATCATTGATATATGATGATATTTTGTCAATTGTACCTACGTATATTCATATATATATATATATACTGAGTGGTAAGAGTTTATACAACTTACAATAAACAGAGAGAGATGAAGCGGTTGATGACTACTTAGGTAGGTATCTCTTTATAAGATCTTGCATCTATTAATACCTACTTTAGATATTATAAGTATGTGATTAAGAATACTTTCTATCTACGTGTAGGTATATTATATTATATCACGCATAAGTAGGTAGGATTTTCCATGCAAGGCTCGAGGTTGATGCTAGCGGATATCCAGAGTACCTACTCGATATGATATCTACCCAACCCTCACTTCAATCAGAGCAAGTTCACCTCACTTCTCTCTTCTCTTGTGATCCGGAATGTTCGGGAATGTGATGAATAAATACACCGTACAAAGGGAGAGACTCGGAGAGAAAGAGAAAGAGATAGAGATCCACATCTACGTAATCCCATTGATCAATGTAATGTGTAATGTGTATGTATGTATGAGTGTATATTAATAAGATTTCGTATTCTATAACATTGCTGAGTTGTAGTATCTTTAATTATTATTCATATTCACCATATACACACATATATCTATCTATCTATCTATCAAACCCGACCCGAGTCCCGAGTCCCAAGTGTGACTTGGTTTTTCAAACATAGCCTCATTCTCATTCATTCCCTAGTATTCAGTCCCTAGCCATTGTCTCTTATTAGTAATCTTACATCCCCAGTTCCTTTCACATCGTCTACAGAGTAGGTACCTGAAGATGTAATTGTCTCATCCTCTCAATATCAATATCACCCGTCCGTTTCTCCTTTTTTCCTATTCAAACTCTTCTTCGCATACTCTTCTCTTCGATATATCTATCCATCATACATTATCAAAAGACAATTCATTCCTCACACAGATCATCATCTTGCTTACCCCGCCAAAAATAAAAATAATAAAAAAGAACCCAATCATCACACTCTTGCCACGATAAGGATTTCAATCAAATATAAGAAAAGAAAAAGTTCCTTCAAGCTCTCTTCCTTGTAATACCTGGTATACCAACCTAAAACCAGCTGAATATTACCAACGAAATCATGGCTGTGCTCGCGCAGCTGATTGCCAAGAGGCAAAGCAGTAACTTTGATGATGATGTTGATAATAAGTAAGTCAATTTCCTTATTTATTTATTTTGACTTTTCTTTTTAACCCAACCTCTCTCGATTGTTCTTTGTTGTTGTCTGTGAGCTGTGTTTATTGCGAAATACGATTAATTTCCTCTTCTCTCTCTCTCTCACACACACACACATACACACAACAACTTCTACAATTCTCGATAGATTTAGACATATCGAGTAATCTTCAGACATCAAGATATTTCCACAATCATCTCTCAAACCATTTACAACCCTTCAACACATCCTCGCAATACCAACAGCGGATATTAGTGACTGAACTAATAAAATGGCTTACAGTTGCGACTACTATGGAAACTGTTATTCTACATGGGGTAGTTGGGGACGATGGGTTGTACTGGTTCTCATAATTCTTGCCTTTGTTCTTCTGGCTTTCGGCTTATCGTAAGTTGTTTTTATCTTCGATATGCTTCACTGGCACGATTTTGATTGTAGCTATCTCTCCAGCTCATACTCTACTCAACATTCTCACCTCACCCCCACTAACATATACCACCAGATGCGTCAACTCTCGTCGTCGTCGTCGTCAAGGAATCCAACCAATGTATGGTACAGGCTGGATGGCCAAGCCACCTCCATACGGTCATTACAACAACCAACCTGGAGCTTACAACTATGGTCCTCCTCCCCCCATGTATACTCCCAATGGACAAATCCCACCTCAACAAACGGGCAATACTTTTAATAGTAATGATGGATATTACGGACATCATGGTCAACATGGTCAACCAGATATCGAATTGCAACAACCACCAAATGCCTACACGAGAGGTGGAGATGATGTTTATCAAGCACCAATGGGTCCGCCGCCTACAAAACACGCTTAAGAGGGAATCATTCGATAAATTCAGATGAGATAAAACTGAGACATTCGTTGCTTTGGGAAGTCCGGGTTATGGGCTACTTCGCTTGAGTAGTGGTGAGGCGATAGGTGGGGATTGCAATTGTCATGATGCAGTTGCTACGACGGCCAAGTGAAAGGAGTAGGGGATGATGGGAATGATTAAAAGAAATGATGGAATGGATTTAGTCGTTACAAGCACATTGACGTCGGTTGGGTTCGGGCTTGGGGTCGGCTTTGGTGCTTGGTAATCTGTAAGGAATGGAGTTTGGAACGGGTCTTACCAGTTTGGAGATTTCCTATCAATCAATGGCAATGAATCAATGCATAATTCAGGGATGAAGGGATTGGAAATGGTAAATAAATAGAAATACACGAGTTATTATATTCAGGTTGCAAATGTGTGTTGTACTGTTTGAGTAATGTGGGATGAGATCTTGATTGTGATTTCGAGCTCTGGCATGTATGACATGTACGTGTCTTGTGTGGGATGGGAGATAGAGAGGAAATATAGATGATGTGTTGGAGAATGGAATACTCGAGTCTGCTACGAGGGGTGATTGATTATAGCTAAGAGGTTAGGTGAGTAAGGTAGGGAGGATATGCTTGCTGGTGTTTGATGATGTGTATCCTTATTCGATGCTATTCGATGTAATACGATATTATATGATATTATGTGATATTATATGATATTATATGATATTATATGATATGATTTGTTTCGTTTCGTTTCGTTTCATATCGATCCCCTATCTTTAAACGAGTTCTGTTGATTTGATTTTGAGTTTCTTCTTCTTCTTCTTCTTCTTCTTCTTCTTCTTCTTCTTCTTCTCCTCCTCCTCCTCCTCCTCCTCCTCCCTTTCCATTCGCCTACACCTCGACAAATTACAATATAAATCGCATTGACTCGTACATATCAATTGAATTCCTCACTCACATACCTCAAAATCCTTCAGCTGGTACCTAGATAGTTATTGGCTCGCTGTTGTATCGTCCCTCTTCCCTCAATTCTATTAAAGTCAAAGAAATTTGATATCCAGATAATTTTGAGTCTTCGAAGTTTGGGGATAGGAGGGTTTGTGGCATGGGCATCTGAGGTGGAGTTGGTTGGGGTTGGACGGAGAAGGGGAGATGGGTGGTATGACTTAGGTGTTGTGGTTAGTACTAGGTAGTTTCTTCGAGATTGAGGGAAATGGCATCAGAAAGTTCTGTTGCGTGTCGGAGAACAGATGGAAAGATTTTGGAGAGTGATAGTCAGGTTTCGAAATTGAAGGGAATAGAGAGGTTTGTTGTATGTCTAAGAAAACTGGAAAGAGTTTGTGATGCTCTAGTTAGGTATTCTTTGAAACTGAATTGTTTAAAACCGGATTTGCAACAACACTTTGGTATCTGTGCTGTTGATATTTAATCGCTTATTTCCTTGATCTCCGGAAAGTAGAAATTGATGTTGCATATCTGAGGAGGAAACGACAACGAATTGTAACGCTACAGTTAGTTTTTGAAATTGAAGTATCTAAAATCAGATATGTAACTTGTGATTCTAATTACCTCTAGTGTCCAGTCATCTTTCTCTCGTAAATCTTAAGGAAAGAGAAAGTTTTGTTGCCTATCTAGGAAGAAACGGCAGTGAATTATAATGCTACATTTAGTTTTCAAAATGTCAACTTTGTGCGATAGATATACAGTATTCAAGCTCAAATTTCATTGGAATGAAAAGTATTTTTGTATATCTGAAGTGAGAAAATTCACGGATTGTAGTATTACAGAAAGGGTTCAATGGGACTGGATTTCAGATATGCAACAAATCCGAGAGAGTTCACTGGGAAAATAGATAGAGTGAACGATTTGGATTGGAATCCCCAAAAGCTACAGTCTATTATATATGGATGACAGGACTGAGCACCTAACTTGTTCCTTTGAAGTGAGGAGATGGGAAATCTTGTTGCATATCTCAAATCGTGGTAGGAAGAGGTCTCGATTTATCTAGACTGAGGAGCCTCTCAAGAGTATACAGTTTATCAAATATGTAATAAAACTTAAGATAGCTGATTTGATTCTTTGAGTGGAAGGACGGGAAGTTTTGTTGCATATCTTGAAATCGTTGTAGGAAGAGTTCTCAATCCATTTGGATTTGGATCCCTCAAACAATACAGTCTTTCAGATATGAATCAAAACTTAAGGTAGTCAACACCTGATCTAGTTCTTCAAAGTAAGAAATTGCGAGTTTTGTTGCATATCTCAAAATCGGTAGGTGAGGAGATTCCAATCGATTTGGATTTGAACCCCTCAGACTCTTTCAGATATGCAACATTGAAAAATTGGGTCAGATTTTTAGTTTAGTCATGTTATATATCTCAGGATCATCGTAAAAAGGGGTCTCAATCGGTTTGGATTTGAATCCCTCAAACAATACAGTCTTTCAGATATGCAACAAAACTCAAAACGGTTGTCAGAAGAAGTTTTAATCGCGTTGGATTGAAGCCCTCCGGAATTCTAATCCATTAGATACGCAACAAAACTTCAAATGGTTGAAAGAAGAGTTCTCAATCCAGTTTGATTGGAATCTCTTGAAGAAGATAGGTTTTCAGATATGCAACAAGACTTCCCATCTCAACTTCAAAGAACTAAGTGGGGGTTTCTTGTAGCATATCTCATAATCGTTCTAAAAAGAGATTTGATTCCATTTGGATTGGAACCCCTTGGACTAGAAGATCTTTCAGATATGCAACAAAACTTATTACGTTGATGAGCACTCGTTGATCGTGACAGACCTATTGGAAATTAGACCGTAATACATACTTCCGAGGCACAATGAAGTGAAAAGAGAGAAGTGAATAGAGAGGCGTATTGGATACAGTGGTGTTGAGGTTGGGAGGGGCAGGCAGAAGATGAAGAAGACTCAAAAATTGTTTAGATCAGAGGGATGATGGGAAAGAGGTTAATTGGAACGTTTGTAATGCTTGGAAGTTAGAGAATAAAGGGAGAGGCATCGAGGTAATCCAGCCATATCAATTTTATTGAAAAAGCAACCGACGGAAACGATAGATGCCTAGGTATATGATGAGTGTATCCAGTGCCGGTCATACATGCTCCAGCTCTTAAATGTACGAATGCTTGACAAAAGCTTTAGGGACACAACCCTGCGAGGCCAAGCTTGAAGATGCGAAATAAATCAAAACTGTAAAATATGAGCGGCCAAAGTTAAACATTCTGATCTCCATGTAGTTAGCGCATTGCTGCCAAATATCTACTTCGAGGGTTGGTTCTCATAACTGACAGAATACTAGAGATTTATTGAATTGCCAATCCCATAGTTTAGGGGCTCATACGAAGTAGACAACTGAGGGTATAGATTAAGGTGAGAACATTCCCGGACAATGTGATTATCTGACTTGAGCTCCGGTTCTGACTACCAGCTTGTATACCAGACACACGCATAGATATCATACAAGTTCCTCTATCAAAATTTCGGGACGGCCTCCTTATCAGATGTTGAATGCCAATCTACGCCATGTGTGAACGTGAGATGATAGAGATAAAACCTTGTATTGCACTTCCCTGGGTACACAGTGACCATTCGAGGGCAAATGTTTCTTAAACATCCTGTGCCGATCGAATCCAAGTTTTTACCTAGAAAGAAAGTACGCGTTCAAGTGCTGCTTTCTTGTGCTCCCTGAATGCAATGCAACAAGACAGTGGCTCTTCAATAACAATATCTTCTCATACCAAGCATAACTTGCTTGACACTCTGTGTACTAGCACAAGCCATCTGATCCCGTATTCGGGCGTAATTGCTTACAGTCTTGGAAGTTGCTGTATTAACAAGAGTGCAGGGCAAGGAGGAAATAGAACAGTGAAGGAGAGAGATGTTGGACCATCCATCAAATGCTCGATAGCAGCGGTCAATAGTCAAGACCTAGGCATTTAAGTAAACTTATACTACAGATCTAAGAGTTCTCGGCTGTGAATAACAAGCGTGCTCTTGGAATCTTGTTCCCTGAGGTTATATGGGTTTCGAAGTTTTCGTTGGCCTGTGAACGGGAAGAAACTTCGATAGTACCTTAAAAGTACATTCAAGGTGATAATATTGCTCAAAAAATCGATACCCATCACCACTTTCACTTCCGCATGAACATTGATTTGATGCTCAGGACTATTGTCTCTAATTGGGAGACGGAAACACGAGAATGGTATATAGACTTGACAGCCTTGTGTGAAGCCATTGGTGCAAGCTGGCTGTATCTACGATTGTAAGGCAGCCTTGAGTAGCGTGACCGCTAAAGGGACATCTCATGGCTTTTAACAATCAATATGTCTGCTCTGTCGACATTCGCTGTGTCTATTTTAAGTGTTATTCGTAGTCATTCAATGGCCAATGATATCTCGTCATTATCTTTACAACAACAAGAAGGGTGGAATAAACAGGTCGCCAATTCATATCTCGAGACACCCGGGCATCATTTGATAACTGCGCCACGATTCACTTCGAGCTTGCAAACCAACCAATATTTGGAGAAGCACGTGATAATGGTTATCATTCCCGAGGGCGACTTCTCCATGATCATCAGCCACCGATGCCATGGCGCCAAGGTCGGGAAAAGGCACATCAAAATTCTAACCCCTGACATTAGTGGAGTGGAGTGCGTGCTGGAGTGAGGGATTATGATGTAAATCATGTGATAGGGATGAGGAGAGAAATGAATGGAGTGATGGATGAAGAGAGGAAAGAAAGAGAAGAGAAGAGTGAGGAGTAAAAAGTAAATGACTAACAATTAACCCAAGAATGATACTTATCTACCTAGTATTGATCATGACATAGAGATGACATAGATATGGACCTCCTATTATGCATTCACTCACTCACTCACTCACTCATCTACCAGTGTGTCACTATCAACTATCAATGCAGACTACTTCGCAAATAAATCAAAACCCTTTATCAGGCTGATTCAGATTAAAGGAACGTGGGTGCAATAGTGATAGCGTAGTAGAGGTAGCCCGGGTAAAAAAGCTTGGGCTTCACTTATTACATGACCTCCAACAAAACCACCAATTTCCTTCCCATTAATAAACAAACTACCCTGTCCTGCCTTGCCCTGCCTCATCCACCTCTCTCTCTGTAACAACCTAAGATGTCCAAGATCTTGTCCACTCTCGTTTCACCTATCATTACCGTCTGAATTCGAGGCAACTCAATCGGTCCATATTGCATTGTTGTTCTTGCGCGTCTTAATACGGATACCTAAAATAAAATAAAAACTCACAAATCCTTCACTCACTCCTACAAGCTCTTCTGGATCTCTTTTAATTCTTTGCGACGAGATACGAATTTCATTACCCCAATTGAGTACGGAAACTTAGCAACAACTTCAAAAACTACGAAACTGACTAAAGAAGATTGGTAGAAATGAATGGGAGACATTGGAATTGAATTTGAAATCTCACTCACAAGAAGCGATCTCTTTC